TATCCCCTGAGACAAGGAAAAAAAAGGTCACTGGAGGGAGGGAGGAAAAGAGGAAATAAAAAGAAATTACCTACATCCTTTTTGGAAGTCACCCAATTGAGCCTTTAAACGTTTAAACTTTACCTTTGACAAAATTGCTGTAAATGTTTAATTTCTCAACCACCTCTTCCATGAAAAAATAAAATAGAACATCACAATAGCAACAGATGTGGAGAGAAAAAAGCCTCAGTCATTTGCTGTCACCAATCATCAATGAAACTGGGAGACATGTACAACTTTAAGAAGCAATTTGGTGGTCAAATTTGCAAAGCTATTAGCAGATAAGCAAAGAATAAGTAAAGTATATCCAGCACTTACAGCTGATCCATTTGAAAAGAAAATATCGTTATACAAATATTTAAAACTGTTTTTATATTATTTAAATATTTGTATAACAATATTTCAGGTGGGTCAACTATAAGTGTGGCTATACTTATACCTAAACAAGCACACCTAAATAATATAGGTTGCAACATACGAACTGTGCATTAAGGTTTATAAAATTTAAAATGTTTCCTTCCTCAAAGCAGTCAATAATATCTTGATGTTAATGTAACTAAATTCTAACCAAATCAAAAGTCTATTTTATGAATTTAAAGAGCATTTTAGTCACATCCTATCTTCATAAAGAATACATTTCAGAAATCATATTTAACATTGTTAAATGTTGAAAGGTTTAATTTACTTTCATCGAGCGTTAATAGTTTCTACTTCCTATTGTATAACTACCACTGTACTTGGCTATTATCTGTATTCTATAAAGTAATAAAACAACTAATTAACTACTTCCTCACAAAAAAACAGAAATAAAGAAAGAAGAAAAAACTACCTAAAAGAAAAAAAACTACCTAAAAGAAAAAAACAACAACCAACAAAAGTAGAAGCATTTTAACAGGTCTGGCAAAGATCACATCCGGAGCATACTGAAAACTGCCTCAGCACATCAAGAAGCATGACTGTTGTTTTCACCGTCATGGTAAAAACATTAGCAAACATGTGAGATGTGACAAGGCTGTAGTGCTGCCAAAGGATACTAAGACTGGTGTGTCGCCTTCAAAGCATGGTGGGTCTACAGAGCACTCACATCAACACAACGGCAGCACTCACTGGGGCTGGCTTCTCTGTTCTTCCTAGCGCAGCTCTGAGAAAAAATATTCCGGAAATGTTTTGCAGTGCCAAAAAACATTAAAAAAAACTGATCCCACAATAAATGGGAGAAAGGAGAAGGTGGCTGCTCTTGTGTTACACCCATTTCAAGCCCTGATTGTCCAGCAGTCTGACCTTTGTGTTATCTTTACCCCCAAATTACCTTCTGGACTTATATTTTCAACCCCTTTCCCTCTTTTCCTAGTAATCTTTGGTGCACATTAGAAACTGAACCTAGAATGAAATAACATTCAATCACATTGTTTTACATTTGGACTATTTCACAACATCCCCCTAATCAACTTAGTTTTTTACTATTCAGCCCAAAGAACAAGTCAGAAGAATTTTAAATTTGATCAGCACTTTATAATATTTCAGTGGATTCTGAAAAGCAAAACCCTGCAGTCATTGTAAGGAAATGAAGAGTTTAGTGGTACTGGGAATAAAGTGTTCATGTGTGTATGTGAGAAAGAGAAAGGGCCTGGGTTACACAGTAATAACAAGCATGTACTGAACAGAGAATTCAGTACCTTTCCTAATTATATAACTATTTCGCTCCAATTCATAGCAAAACAGTTGTGCAATCAGTCACATGCATTTGACAGAATTTCATTTAGTTAGAATCCAGTCTTATTTTAGCCTACGGAGTCTTTCTTTGCAAAGCAGTATTGTATTGTATTTTATCATATTTCGTTATACAACTAGGCTTGTGAAAGAATTCAGTTTTAGGAATCAGTGAGAAAGGTTGTCAAACATTAATTTTGTCAGTTATCAACCCAAGGAAATAAAGATCTCAAAGCATCTGATTATTTAGCTCTATACTCAAATGGTCCACTAACTCCTTATGAAAAAAGACAACATATGGCTGGCACCAAATTCTTTGAATACAGCCACACCTCTTGCTAATAACAGTGAAGTAAAGAGTAAAGTAAAGAGTAAAGTAACAGTAAAGTAAACAGTATGGTATAAAACAGGCAAGCAATAAACTGAATTATTTATTTATCAAGCTTGTTTATATTTTAAATGAAACCATCACTCTTTTGGCCAGTTTCCAATGTCAAACCTTGTGCTAAATAACTGGAATCTTTCTGTCTCGCCAAGTGTAATTTATCCTCATTCATTATTTGTTGGCTGTGTGAACAGGTGCACAGCAGAAAAAGTTAATCTTATACCTTCATTACCAGCCTACTTGGCTTTGAAGCACCTCTGACTTTGAAGGTGCAACACAAGCAACTGGATTTGTCCAGGTAGGACAGTTAAATACAGCAGAATGGAACTCAACTCTGTTGTTTTTAAAATGTGTACCTACAGACAAAGCTCCTGAGAAACATACAAACTGCACCAAGACAATTCTAACTCTGCCCAGAAGTCTGACAGACATTTCAGTATGGAAACTGCAAAGACATCACTTCAAGTGCTTTTTAGGTTACATTTTAAAAATGTAACCTAATTTAAACCTGTCTGTTCAACCTGATCACTTGCTAACTTCGTTGAGTAAATATGATTGTCAACCTTGCAACGGATTTGGCCGAAGCCATTTTCCTCGTTTCCTGGGATGTGTATGGAATGGGACTTTTTCTATTAGGCTAAACATTTTTCTGTCCCGGAGGAACCAAGGTCATTTCTGTTTCCTCAGCTGGGGAGGATACTTCTAATGTTAGAAAGCCCACCTGGATGTGTTATTGGAGAACGTAGTTGATTGCACAGCCAGTGGGGTGGGACTGTAACTTTGTATTACTGTTGCTTTTGGGAGGGGATTTTAGTCTTGGTTTCACTTTTGACTGTGCCAATACTTTGTATCCAGTAAACATGTTCTCAGAGGAAAACTCAAGCCTCCGAGTTCTGTTTTACTTGGCCTCATCTATCGGAACCATGACAATGATATTTTGAAAGATAATGCATGAAATGTTTCATCTTTTTTAAAGAATACCTACAATCTTTTTTATTTTTGTTGTGCAAATCCTGCCCGATAAAGAAAACTTTTATCTAAAAATAGATAATTCATGTAAGCCCTCCAAAAATTCTAACCAATTGCATCTGTCTAGAAAGTTTCTCAAAATGTGGTCTTCAGGCATTGAGGATTATATCTTCATTCTTCCTAACCAGCATGTCCATCCTTTGAGGGGAGGATGGAAATGGTGATTAAACACATCTAGAGGACAGCAACTTGGAGAATGTTGTACAAATGCAAAGCACGGAGATTTAACTTGGATTCAGTATCACTCTATGCATTCTACTTCTAGAGTATACCAAACATCATAACAACATTGATCAGCAATGTATTACTATATTCAAAGGCATATATTTCTGTACTGTATTTAAGAAACAAACTGAGCGATCAATGGTAAAGCAAAGAGAACAATGATTGTAAAGTCATCCAAATAGACAATATTTCCGGGTTAAGTTTTGGAAGCTTTTTAAAATATTGTATTTTGTATGTGTGTGTGTATATATATATATACCCTTTTATGAAATCCCCAGAATTTATGCCAGTAAATTTTAATAGGAAGGCAATATAAAATGGAGAAATCAAATACATACATGCAATTATCTAAAAGGAGGTATATATTGCTTTCCTATTAAAATTCACTGGCATGAATTCTGGAGATTGCATAAAAATATTTAGGAGACTTCCTGAAGTTTCTTGATACTAATCCCAGTTAGTCAGTTTTGAAGACTGGCAAAATATAAGGCTATGCATACAAAATTGTACCTTCTGCTATAGCTTTTAAAGGCATGGGAATATTGCTTTAAATATGAATGGTCCTCTTTTGACATTTATTCATTTCCTTTAGAAACATGCAAGCACTTGATTGCTTTAAATCAAGTGATGTACACACCTATAGAGGAAAGAAGGAAATGTGTAAAATGAGCATAATGTTCATTCATTCTCAATCACATATTCTCCAATTTTTACATAAATATAAATATATACAAATATATACACACATACATATACACACACATACCAGCCAAGTTAGAAGATAAACACATACATGAGTGTATGCATTCTTAGAATATGTATTAGTTAGTCTGCCAAAAGCCTTTTCTAAATAGTATACTTTTTTCTAAAAAGTATATTGTCTAATAAGGACATAACTATTTGTTTGTTTTACCAAATACTTGAACATTACAAAGTATTATTTTGGAATTCGTGTATTTTTATGGATCATATTAAAATAGCCAGTTTGGTTTAGTAGTTAAGGTGCTGGACTAGGAGTGGGGAAACCTGAATTCTAGTCCTGTCTTGGGCATTATTATTATTATTGTTATTGTTGTTGTTGTTGTTGTTGTTGTTGTTGTTGTTGTTGTTGTTATTATTATTATTATTATTATTATTATTATTATTATTATTATTATTATTATTATTATTATTATTAAAGTCATCTGGGAGATTTTGTGCCAGTCTCTCTCTCTTAATCATAGGAAGGCCCTGGCAAACCACTTTGGAACATGTTCCCAAGAAAACTGCATAGACATTCTGTTTTTTATAAGACGGTAAATAATCTATTCATGAATTAGAAATACTCTATATGTTTATCTACCATCAGTTGCAGGACAAATAGATTATATAAGATTTATGTATGTATTGCAGAATGAGATGGTCAGTTATAAAAGAAGATATAAAAGAAAATATATTGTTGGTTCAAATCTGTTTGTTTCAGAGAATACAGTCACAAATGTTACCTAGAAGAGAGACATATAGGCTTGCATCTTACTAGTGAAATTCAATCTATCTCAGTTTCAGTGGCCCAGCAAGCTATTGTTTGATGCTTATTGAAAACATTAATGTAACTCTCCAGCCCATAACTCACCTGTGGATGATGTTCCTGCTTTGGAGATAATCAAGTGCCAGGGCTAGCTCACAGATGAATAGTTTCACAGTCTCCTCTTCAAAACGGACATTTTGCTGCAGGTGGTAACGTAAATCTCCTCCAAGAAGCAGATCCACCACCATAAACATGTCTTCTTCATCCTGGAATGAGTACCTGGAAAAGGATACACAATACGTAAGAGAAATACTTAAAGGGGCCTATTGGCTAGAATGTTGGATTGCCAGGATTCTGCTTCAGGACAACACTTTGTGGATGAAAGCATAGCATAATAAACCATAAAAAAGGAACAGTTTCAAAGCAAAAAAAAAAAAAGCAGTCAGAAATCTGTAATCTAAAAAAGTGTTACCTCACACTATATTGTTATGACTCATCTGGCTCTTAATCTTTGTTGAAATAATACTTTTATAAAAAAAAGATGCCCTGATTAATTATACGGCATTTCTTGTTTTGAAGGCTACCATGATGAATTGTTGTTGGAATAGTTTTGCCTTATTTGATAACTCTCTAAGTTGCGTGATAACATGAAAAATATAGTGCAAACATATGAGTATATATTACTGTTTTGCATATTTCCAAGGTAAGCCTCACTAGACAGAATTGTAGAACTGAAGTCTTGCTATAAATTCAGTCCTGTTGCTAATTTTTCATACCCCCTTTCATACGTTCTCCCAAAGTTTCCTCTCAAGATCTACTTTACATCTTTAAAAAAACCCAGCAAATTACATGTAGTCAAAATAAAAAAAATCAATACATTTTAGTCTTGGAACAGTCACTGTTTTTGAACACAGAGAGGAAAGTTAGCTGCTGCCAAGCCAAGAGATTCCCTAAGGAGCCATATAATTAAATACAAGGTAACTACATCATCTCTAAGTCAATGGATAAGCAAGATTCATGAGAATGAGAAGCAAAGCAAAATACTATACTAGATTTGGCATGCTATCTGAAAATTCTGAGTATGGTCATCCAACACATCTTGTTAGCACAAAATGGTGAAGAACTGCTCTAAAAATCATCTCTTCAGAATCAGAAAGATCACATAAACTAGCCCAGTGTATTGGTCTTATATTTCTCCCTCAGGACAGGTCAGTAATCCAAAATTCCTCAAAATGTTGAAACCCCCCTGAAATGATAAACAAGTTTATGTACCTCCTCCCATGAATAAAACTGATCAGTTCATTTAAGTTAGGATTGGGCTAGAAATAGATATGATAAATAGTTTTAATAATTATAGTATAATTATGCTTCTCAAACTTTGCAGGACCACAGTCACCTGGTGCATATTTTTGACAATCCTGTCAAAACGTAATCTTGTTTTCTGGGCAAGCCTATAGCCAGTTTATGCAAACAAAGCAAGCAGCATTCCCAAAGCTGGGAATGAATTTTAAAATTGCTTTTAATTTGTAACTTGAATAGAACAGAGCTGAAAGCGACCTTGGAGGTCTTCTAGTCCAGCCCCCTGCTCAAGCAGGAGAACCTATACCATCTCAGACAGGTGACTGTCTAGTCTCTTCTTAAAAACCTCCAGTGATGGAGCACCCACAATTTCTGGAGGCAAGCCGTTCCACTGGTTGATTTCCTCACTGTCAGGAAGTTTCTCCTTAATACCAGGTTGCTTCTCTCTTTGATCAGTTTCTAACCATTGTTTCTCGCCCTTCCCTCTGGTGCTCTGGTGCCTTTACAAATCTATATCGTGTTTTAACAAAACTCATAACCTCCCCTCTTACATATCCCCACAGAGACATGATCCACAATTTGAGAAACCATAATGTAACTCAACAATAAAAAAAACATTTCCCAGATTCAGTGCTGGCCATTTCCAGTCCTGGAACTTTTTTTAAAGCCTAAAATCCTGTAAAACATGGACCAATTTTAACCTAGATTGAGATAAGCTAATCAGTCTAACTCTGATATGTTTTATGTTAATGTTATATATACTGTATATTGTCAGTTTTCTACAAATATACACTTGCTAGTGGAAAATTTGTATATGATGTTGATAATTGTTGAAGGAAAAGTCTTCATCAATGTTGTAGATTCCAGCCACTGCTGCCCATGCACTCCATGACAAGATCAGTTTTGGGGGATCAGGTTAATTCATTCTCATTGCAAATCACAGCAGATTTTATTTTTTGCATCCTTAGAAATAGATCAACCATTGGCTGGACTAAGAGAAAAGCCGCTTCCAATAGCAAAACAGTAATCATGCATAGTTGAAGTATATATTTACATTTAAAAATAATATTTGCAACTTAATGAACTTCTAGATTCAAAAATACTTGTGCATCATGGCAAAAGAAACACCAAAGTTATTTCCTTACTATATAGGCAGTGAGCATAGGACTGCAGTGTGTGAACCTTTTCAAACCATAGTTCATTGTATTTGTTTTGCAAATAAATATGGTTCTACTGTAGAAAACAGACTGTAAAAGTAAAAACCAAGAAATGTATTTGCTTGTTTATACTATTTGCTTATAACAAGAGAGTTGTTATAAAAACTGTCTCAAAAAGTATCAGGGATTTTTTTTTTTTGCTCTGCTGTGTCAAGATTAAACAATTGGATTAACTATTTGGGTGGTAATGCTACAATGTTTGAGTACAAATAGTGCAGCATTATTACAACCCTTGGAATTGGTATCACAGTAAATTGATAGTGTGGTTTTAATATCCTGTTCAACAGAGAAGGATACAAGAAATCAATCTAGTACTCAGTTGAGTTGTTACATGGTCATAATGTTCTCTACAGGGATCTCCATCAACCTAGATGTTTTAGGTTGCTTTTCTTTTAAAACAGGAAAGAGAGAAAGAGCAAACAATTCCTTAAAGTGCAGCCTGCCAACTCCAAAATAATTCTTTCCATTACATGCAGGACTGAAAGACTGCTGAGCATCAAATGTTCTAAGGTCAGAAAATCAGATACTTTACTAGTGCATAATCACAGTAGATCGTTTCTCCCTAGGTTGTCTCTTTGTATTCATCAATATCACACAGATAAAAGCAACTTCTTGAATCTCTATTTACTTATTTGTTTGTGTAATAAATGTACCTGCCACCCATCTCACTCTGAAAGCAGAAAAAAAAGTCTTTGGCATATTTATGTGTCTTTAATTCTGGAAAATTCTTACAGCTCTTTTGAACTTTATGACCAGTTTATGTAGATAGCCAACAGTTGTGCAAGTCCTCAGCATACTACCGGTATTACCTAAGAGAGAAAATTATCTGTTTTCTTGTAAATATAATCCATGTGATCTTTTAAATAGCCTTGGAAGATTTAACAACAGCAGCAACAACAACAACAACATTGATAATAATACAATTGTCAGGAAAACAAGACAACCAAAGGAGAGAGAGTTGCAAAAAAATAAACTATAAAGAAAACAACAGTAAACAGGGTTACTGATGATCACTATAGACAAAAGAGAATATTTGTAGCTCAGGGATGACCTGAGGGAGTCTTTGGTGCTCTCTGAGCTTGGTTGATGATATTATCTGCACTGATGATGTTACTTAGTTTGGGTAATGAAAAGTAAGGTTCTACATTTAGGCAAGAAAAACCAAATGTACAGGTATAGTATAGGGGGTACCTTGCTCGGTAGTAGTAACTGTGAGAGGGATCTCGGAGTCCCAGTGGACAATCACTTAAATATGAGCCAGCAGTGTGCTGCAGCTGCCAAAAAAGCCAACACAGTGCTAGGCTGCATTAACAGAGGGATAGAATCAAGATCACGTGAAGTGTTAATACCACATTACAATGCCTTGGTAAGACCACACTTGGAATACTGCATCCAGTTTTGGTCACCACGATGTAAAAAAGACGTTGAGACTCTAGAAAGAGTGCAGAGAAGAGCAACAAAGATGATTAGAGGACTGGAGGCTAAAACATATAAGGAACGGTTGCTGGAATTGGGTATGTCTAGTTTAATGAAGAGAAGGACGAGGGGGGACATGATAGCAGTGTTCCAATATCTCAGGGGCTGCCACAAAGAAGAGGGAGTCAGGCTATTCTCCAAAGCACCTGAAGGCAGGACAAGAAGCAACGGATGGAAACTAATCAAGTAGAGAAGCAATCTAGAACTAAGGAGAAACTTCCTGACAGTTAGAACAATTAACCAGTGGAACAACCTGCCTCCAGAAGTGGTGAATGCTCCAACACTGGAAGTTTTTAAGAAGAGACTGGACAGCCATTTGTCTGAAATGGTATAGGGTTTCCTGCCTGAGCAGGGGATTGGACTCGATGACCTCCAAGGTCCCTTCCAACTTCATTATTATTATTATTATTATTATTATTATTATTATTATTATTATTATTATTATTATTATTATTATTATTATTATTATTATTATTATTATTATTATTATTATTAAATGTCTTCAATAAAACAACCAAGCTCAGCTGATCACTATGTATGTAGAGTTGTAAATAACAAATCAAGTCTCCTTTTGGTCCAGCTTCTTTTCTGGAATTCATGGGCACATCTAGGTGGTTCTTAACAATAATAGAGAAGTACATTGCCTTCTTCTGGGATGATGATGATATTTGTTATTTCCTACTGTAGCTTATAGTCCAAAGCTTTCCTGGAGATCTTCTACCCAAATATTAACCAGGCATGATCCTGGACTAGATGCTCACATTGGCTGAAAGATAAACCACCAATTCAGTTACATTAATGAGGCTTGATAACCAAGCAGCAACTAGCAGTAGCTACATTCTCTGAGTCATTATTCCATCTTCAGAACAGATCCAGGAAATGTTTTCATTAGAAAACAGATTAACTCAAGAAGATGCTTCATGGAAATGTGCACTACAAGGTGACATCACTGCCACGGTGTTCAATTTCTTTAAGCTTAGGCTCTGAATCCTTCCAGAAACTGAAGAAAACCTAGAATTCTAAAACATGGTTGATAAATTCAGATCATAATACTAAGTGAAAAGCATTCTTTAAAGGCATTTATTTCAACCAATGCTCTAAACAAAACATTCTAGTACTGGGACTCATTCTATTACCTTACTTTTTTAAATATTGCAAACTACTTACGGTAATTATGTTTATATGAAGGATAATAACAAATAAGAGCAATAGTAATACAAGTTCTGATTCAATTCTGTAAAATTGCTTTGAATTCAGCCCAGCATTCAAAGAGAGTAGAAAACCTCA